TGTAATCTGTTTTTAGGTATACAACCAATGAAAAAATACATAATTAAATTCATGCATGTTTTAATTTTGGGGTATATCTACTAAACAGTGATTTTCATTTATTTCTATTATTGTGTGTTGGCAGTGCTGTGTTAGTTTAAGCCTAGATATGTTATGTTGGAATGATTATAAAACAAATCGACAGGTTTAAATAAATATTATTGAAGTCAAAAGTTTTACAGTGCTGTCTGTCATTATAATTGAATGTATCCCAACTGTTACATCAAAGAAATGCAGTAGCTGGGGATTATAGGGGCACAGTGATAGTGTTGGTTGGCATGGTATTACCTCACAGATAATAATACATATTTTCTGTGTATTCATCTGCCAAAACCTTGAAAAATAAATACTGTGATGTTTATTTCATTGTAATGTAGAATGAGTCCACACTGGGCAGCCTAACACTTTCATCTCAGTGGCGTTGATAGGGGGTGGCAGGCACCATCTTACATTAAGTGGTGAAACTGTTAACAAATAGTTTAGCTACAAACATTGGAAGACTTCACACTAACACTCTTTTCATCTACAGGTACTCCTCACTTACCGACCGGGTTCCGTTCCGACGACCTGGTTGTGTGAATGAATTGGTCGGTAAGTGAGGAGTTAAGGGATTCCCTGCTCTGGTGCACTTGTCTATGTTTGGGGAAATTTCCCCGAACATAGACGATCGCAACTATGCTCGGGGAAATTTCGCACTTACCACCCGGCGAGAGAGCTGGTCGTAAGGGCATGCCGTCGTAAAACAGGTACGTCGCAAAACGAAGACAACCTGTATTTCCTTTTTTGGTCTGTCTTCAATCAGGAAGCCTTGGACCAGGCACTGCTGGTTTTTAGGTGCTCTCAGTTATCACTAACTCCCCATTCAAAAAAACCAAACAAGTGAAGTATAATCGTACCTTTATCACTCCATTTTCTGAATTGTGATTAAGCTGTTATGGTGGCCTGAGTATCTTTTTAATATTCCAGTTACTGTTCTTGCATTGTAAATAAACTCTGACTAAACATTTCTCTTCTTCTACAGGCACCTTCTGTATCATTTCACTGTGCACCTGTGTGGCAGGGATCAACTTTGAATTATCTCGTTATCCTCGCTTCCTGTACGGGCTGCCTGATGACATTAGCCATGGCTATGGATGGTCCATGTTCTGTGCCTGGGGGGGCTTAGGTCTGACTTTAATCTCGGGTTTCTTCTGCACCTTAGCTCCTTCTGTGCAGCCGGTCCTGAGGACCAACTGTCCCAAAACCAGGCCTGAGAATGGAACAGTGTGCTAAAAACTTACTCTGAACATATTAAGAAAGAGACATGGCATCAGTCATGGAACTTATACGAGGATTACAAAATATCAGTCTTTTATCAGTTCATTACAATGTGGTCATGTGTAGGGATGCCACAGTGGGAGTGATGCTGGTACTAGATACCCGATGGTAGCTAAAACATATCGATGATATCTTTATACATGGACTACTTACTGTACCTTGGATTGTAGATAATTTACTGATCAATGTTTTTGTTTCTTAACTGGGAGACGAGAGAGGCTTCCGTGTCAGCTAAAAGAAAAACCCTGCTTCCATCATCACCTACCACTTTCATTTAATTCTAAACCGAATAGTTCACACACATCCATATTTCCCCTTCATACAACTAAACAAGGATTGACATATTTTTAAATGAATTGTGACTTTGGAAACAGTCGTGAGAAGTGCAGTTACTGATACAACAATAATTCAAAATGGCTTCCTTTGATGCCCCACGACAAGAAGCAGCAAGAAAAAAAAGAGAAAACAGAAAACCACAGGGTTTATCTAACCTAAAATCTGTTATACAAAATATATATATATATGTATCTGTGTTTTCTTAAAAAGGTTACTGCTGTTTATCCTCTTTCTCCCCAGCCCCGTAAAATTGTTCTCTCTGTCAAAAAATTGTTCAGTTTCAAATACAAGGATTACACTGAAAGTTTAAAAGGACTCTAGGAATCCAATGCAGATACTACTTGTCTGTATGTGGCGTTTTTTTTCTCAGCTGCCTTAGTTCAGGCCTCAGAACGCAGCCTGGACTGCAAATTGAAACCCGAAAAAAAGGCCTAACAAAAAAAAACAAAAAACTGTGATCTGTGTGTGTGCCAGTCCTTTTGCATTATTAGAATTCTGATTTTTAGGAATTACAAAGTCCAAGCTTCTTTTTAATGTTGGATTATCAGTATATAAGCTGTACATGTCACTTGGACTAAAGAAGGGAGCATGACAAATGTTTGGCAATTAAAACAAGATGCTGAGTTACAGAGCTCAGGAATTAAAATTGTCGGTTGTAAAGGGAATAAATGAAAGCTTGTTTGTTTTATTACAATTTTTTTAAACCCTAAACACCATCCTTTTCAGTGTGTATCATGTGTCCAAACTGAAATATCTTCGAGAGCTATTATAACTATTCAAGATGGCTCTGTCCACTGAAAATATCTTTGCATAAATCTGTGATAAACAATTTTCCAATTTATATTATTTTAACATAAGCAAAAGAAATTAAATGAAACTTAAAATATGACTTTCACAGAGTTTAGAGGGTCATTTTGGAATTGCATCATAAGTTAATAATATTCTAAAATCACCAGTGCCAACTACTTACTTAAGGGAACACTCCAGGCACCATAACATCTTCATTGAAATTATGTTGTTATGGTGACAGGAAGACCCTTGCACTTCCTTACCTCAAGGGTTAAACCGTTAATGAATGGTTCAATGCCACAGAGTAGCAAATTTGGATTAAGAAAGCATGGACTGCTACAGGGCAGGGGTTCTGCTAATTGACTTAGAGGACGAGCTAAGCTAGTCAGCAGCTGCCCATTCATGAAGCAACTGCTTCCTTGCTTCCTGTATCCAAATTTGAGACATCGGATGCCGTTGAGAACAGACAGGAATGGTGCTGAATTACACTCGTTGGGGATACACTTTGATGAAGTTGTTATGGTGTCCATCTGGTCCTTTAAAAATTCAACTGGCAGTATATGCACCTGGGTTTTATTTTTTTCAAGAAAACCTCCCGGAATTTTGCTCTGTGGGGATAAGAAAATTACTCAACTGATCCATAATCCAGAATGTTTAGATTGGCAAGATTAAAAAAAAAAGACAAAGACCATTGTAAGTGCTATATAACAACGCAAAGAATATTTCTGATCTCAGAGCTGTTTTATATATAGGATTGCACCTAGGCACGGTCAATATAAATTTTTTTTGTATATGGGAGGAGTGGCAAGCATTTTGTATTCAGTATATATATATATATATATATATATATATACATATATATATATATATATACAGTTGCAAGAAAAAGTATGTGAACCCTTTGGAATGATATGGATTTCTGCACAAATTGGTCATAAAATGTGATCTGATCACCATCTAAGTCACAACAATAGACAGTCACAGTCTGCTTAAACTAATAACACACAAAGAATGAAATGTTGCCATGTTTTTATTGAACACACCATGTAAACATTCACAGTGCAGGTGGAAAAAGTATGTGAACCCTTGGATTTAATAACTGGTTAAACCTCCTTTGGCAGCAATAACTTCAACCAAACGTTTCCTGTAGTTGCAGATCAGACGTGCACAACAGTCAGGAGTAATTCTTGACCATTCCTCTTTACAGAACTGTTTCAGTTCAGCAATATTCTTGGGATGTCTGGTGTGAATCGCTTTCTTGAGGTCATGCCACAGCATCTCAATCGGGTTGAGGTCAGGATTCTGACTGGGCCACTTCACAAGGCGTATTTTCTTCTGTTTAAGCCATTCTGTTGTTGATTTACTTCTATGCTTTGGGTCATTGTCCTGTTGCAACATCCATCTTTTGTTGAGCTTCAGCTGGTAGACAGATGGCCTTAACTTCTCCTGCAAAATGTCTTGATAAACTTGGGAATTCATTTTTCCTTCGATGATAGCAATCCGTCCAGGCCCTGACGCAGCATAGCAGCCCCAAACCATGATGCCCCCACAGTTGGGATGAGGTTTTGATGTTGGTGTGCTGTGCCTTTTTTTTCGCCACACATGGTGTTGTGTGTTTTTTTCAAACAACTCAACTTTCGTTTCATCTGTCCATTGAATATTTTGCCAGTACTGCTGTGGAACATCCAGGTGCTCTTGTGCAAACTGTAAACGTGCAGCAATGTTTTGTTTGGACAGCAGTGGCTTCCTCTGTGGTATCCTCCCATGAAATCCCTTCTTGTTTAGTGTTTTACGTATTGTAGATTCGCTAACAGGGATGTTAGCATTTTCCAGTGACTTTTGTAAGTCTTTAGCTGACACTCTAGGATTCTTCTTCACCTCATTGAGCAGTCTGTGCTGTGCTGTTGCAGTCATCTTTACAGGACGGCCACTCCTAGGGAGAGTAGCAGCAGTGTTCAACTTTCTCCATTTATAGACTATTTGTCTTACCGTGGACTGATGAACAACAAGGCTTTTGGAGATACTTTTATAACCCTTTCCAGCTTTATGCAAGTCAACAATTCTTAAGCGTAGGTCTTCTGAGAGCTCTTTTGTGCGAGGCATCATTCATATCAGGCAATGCTTCTTGTGAAAAGCAAACCCAGAACTGGTGTGTGTTTTTTATAGGGCAGGGCAGCTGTAACCAACACCTCCAATCTCATCTCATTGATTGGACTCAAGTTGGCTGACATCTCACTCCAATTAGCTCTTGGAGATGTCATTAGTCTAGGGGTTCACATACTTTTTCAACCTGCACTGTGATTGTTTACATGGTGTGTTCAATAAAAACATGGCAACTTTTCTTTCTTTGTGTGTTATTAGTTTAAGCAGACTGTGATTGTCTATTGTTGTGACTTAGATGATGATCAGATCACATTTTAGGACCAATTTGTGCAGGCTCAGTGGCACACACATATTCACTGTCACTCACTGCATGCTGGCCATTTTATACTTATTAGTACCCTCCCTGATGGTGAACTGTGGAAGGTTGCCTCATACTTGCCTCATACTTCTGGTTACCATTTCCCAGGGCTCTTCTGTCAGTTCTCTGTTGGGGAGCTTTGGCACACTGGAATCAGCCTATATAGAACTTTCACTTCTGTCTCTGTTGGTCCTGCTAACTTCTAGATCTAGTGCTGCCATGACCCACCTCCTTTTAGCCTCATTGGTCCCTCCCATGTGACTTCCCCAAGCAAATGGCAGGTGTGGGAGCACACGTCTTCGCGCTGCCTTAATGAAAAAGATCTGATATGGTTAGTGTGGTGGGCACCGGCAGACAGCATTTGTCCCGACTGTCTTCTGTAACAAATTCTTTACTTGTGTCTGTAGCCAGTATTACCATCTGTTATTGGGTTTGCCTGGGTGGCTGAGACAGACCCAGACGCAGTTAAAGCTGCCGGGTCATGCCCTTGGAACTGGCACCCTAGGCCACTGCCTGAGAGGCTTAATGGAAGTGCTGGCCATGGGCAGAAGCTCCAGGTGTGCAGGGGACATGCCACACTTAGAGAGACCAAAGTAGCAAGAGCATTTGCACAGTGTGCAAAGGAAGTTTTATCTTACCTAATTTGTTGTCAGCCAGTCCACAAAGGTTTTATTCCCCTACATCCCTCCCAAGTTTCCATACTTAATTCCCTCTGCACACAGTAAGAAGAGCAAGTAAAGCGTAGAAGTAAAAAAAAAAAAAAATGAAATCTGTCCCTTAGTTCTTATGATGCACTCCTTTCATCATAGCAGTGGGACATAAGTGCTGGACAAAACGTAACTGGCTCTTCATGACCTGCCAAAGTAAGTTCTACAGTTAATGAAAGGTAAGCTATTAGGGCTTAGTAAATATTTGTGAGGATTTTTTTTTATTTTATGCAATTTTGGACTTTGTTTTCCTTTCAAGGAGCTGAAAAGAATCTCTATTCATTCAGGGTTATTTACTAAAGTTATTTCAAAGTGAATCTCAAAGTTAAGCCCAGAGTAACTGTACAAAAAGCATAGCTGAAAAGTAGACGACTGAAATGGAATGTTTTCTATTTTAGCTATTTTGACCTTAAATCTGAAATTCACTTTGAAGATTCACTTCACTAAATAAGCCTGATTGTTTGATTAAAATATGTAATCTGCATGTGATTGACCCTAAATGCAATTCAAAACTATTATTATTATTATTATATTTATATAGTGCCAACAGATTCCTTTACAATGGGTGGACTAACAAACGCGTAATTGTAACCAGACAAGTTGGACACACAGGAACAGAGGGGTTGAGGGCCCTGCTCAATGAGCTTACATGCTAGAGGGAGTGGGGTAAAGTGACTCAAAAGTGTCAAAGGGTGAAGCATGAGAGGTGCGGGCAGACAGGAAGATGAGACTCACCGTCACATTCATTATAGACTGGAAAGGGGCAAGTTGGGAGCACATAAGACCACCCAAAATTGAATACCGTGTGTGTTTGTATGAATGTAGTGTGTATATAATGAATGCAGTGTGTGTGTATATAATGCAGTGTGTGTTTGTGTGAATGCAGTGTGTGTATATAATGCAGTGTGTGTTTGTGTAGTGTGTGTAAACTGGGTGAAGGGAGGGCATTTTTTTATTTTTTTATTTTAATATTATTATTATATTTTAAAATGTATCTTAATATTATTATTTTATTTTAATATTATTATATTATTATTTTATTTTAATATTTGTATTATTTTTTATAAAAAAATTTTTGTCCCCCCTCCCTGCTTGTTGCCTGGCCAGGGATGGGGGCTATGTGAATCCCTGGTGGTCCAGTGGATGGGCTGTGCAGTGGGGGGGCTGGAAGCGAGCTGTTACTTACCTTCATGCAGCTCCCCTGTCAGCTCCGTTCTGCTCCCAGTGTAAACCTCGCGGTTTGTGTGCCGCGCGGAGCTTTGCCACGCGTTACCGTGGCAACGCTCTGACGGCCGCGGGTGTCGCGAGATTTTCACTGGGAGCAGAACGGAGCTCACAGGGAGCTGCACGGAGGAGAAGGGAGCTGACAGGAGCTGCAGGAAGGTAAGTAACAGCTCGCTGCCAGCCCCCAACAGGACCACCGGGCTTGCAATGAGCCCGGCGGTCCTGGTCTGTATTATGGCATTGTAAGTTGCCATAATACAGACATTGACTAGAGTATAAGCCGAATGGGGGTTTTTCAGCACAAAAAATGTGCCGAAAAACTCTGCTTATACTCGAGTATATATGGTATTTGTTATTTTTGTGGACATGCTAGGGCAAAGTGGAGCAATCCACCCAAACATTCTTAAGAGTCATGTTGATTATGTCACCTGTGAAAATCTGCCCCAAAGAATAAGCACAGTTGTAAAATGCTTGGCTATTCAAGAACCATTTTAATCCACATCAATTTGATTATGTAAACCACAAAACAGTATTAGATGCCACACACACACACACACACACAAAATAATCAGGTAATCAGTAGTGAATTTTAATTTATTACTGGCATCAAGAAAGGCTGTTCAGCTTAACCCCTTAAGGACACATGACAGGTGTAACATGTCATGATTCCCTTTTATTCCAGAATTTTGGTCCTCAAGAGGTTAAAGGAATACTATGGGCTTCAAAACAACTGTAGTTTAAAGTGACATTATAGTCATCAGAATCACTACAGCTTAATGTAGTGGTTCTGGTGTCTGTACCCAGTTCCTGCAGACTTAGCACTATAAACACTGCCTTTTCAGAGAAAAGGCAGTGTTTACATTGCTGGTTAGTAAAACCTCCAGTGTCAGTCACTCAGCCGGCACTAGGTGTACTTCCTACTCCAGTGCTGCACAGTGTGCGGCACTGGTGTTCAGTGTCTCCATGCTCTACATGGAGAAGCTGAACGTTACACAAAGAGATGCATTGATTCAATCCTTCTCTATGAGGAGATGCTGAGTGGCACTGAATTGCGTTTTTCCACGCTTGTGCAATAGCCTCCCAATGCTTGTCTATGGGAAAGCTTTGGATTGGTTGAGATCATCAAGATCATCAGCCATGGAGGTGGAGCCAAGCAGGCCAGGTTTGTGTGGGAGAAAAGTTGAGTAAAAAAAGTTGCACTTTTATGTGTTCTTCTACGCGCCAATAAATACACCTTTAGTACCTGGAGTGTTGCCTGTATATTTTATTACCTTGTATTGTTGGACGGATTAGCAGTGCCTATCTAATGCAGAGCACCTCTGAGGCTGTGGGCCAGAGTGAAAAGTGGAACCTGAGTGCAGTGGACTACGTTGTCTGTGGTACACACACATACATACTCACAGATACACATTAACACTCACAGATGCACACAGTGACACTCACAGATGCACACAGTGACACTCAGATACACCATGACACTCACAGATACACACAAATACTCACAGATACACACACATACTCACAGATGCACACACATACTCACAGATACACACTGACTCCCCGCTTCAATACCTTTTGGTTTCAGGGAGGTGACTTCCTGAGGTTGGCTGGTCCTGATGGGAGTCCAAAAGGCAGAGCTCTCCCTCCTCCCTCCTCCTTCTCTCCCAGCTCTCCCAGTGTTCTCAGCCTGTGCGGTCTGTATGCTGGGAGGAAGTAACAGTCACTTCCTCCCAGCACTCCCTGCAACTTTAAAGGGGCCCGGTCTGCCAAAGGGCTGCACTATTTCCCCCGTTGCCCCCCCCCGGATCCGCCACTGGCTGCAGAATAAGCTTTCCACTTATACAAATAATAGAAACAGTCCCCACACAAACATACAGCCCGCACAAACACAACACTACGGACTATCCACATACACACACAAACACACAATGTAACATAGGTATCATACACAATACCACAAACTACTCATGAACATATTCTATACAATGTCAGCCCACATAGGCATAAATACAATACTACAAATCAATTGCAGTACCCACAAATAACACAGGCAGAATACGGCAACATACACACCTCAATTTCTAAAAAATAGTACCGGCACGCAAGTGACTTCAAAATATCTATTTAATAATATCTACTACCAAAAGATTGCCTACCCCTGCTCTAGAGTGTCAGTCCACATTAATAGTTTTGATAATGGAAACGTTTCTACTAAGTTCCAAAAACCGAAGGTGATAGTTATATTTGTTTAATATAAAAATGCTAATAAACAATACTTTTCTAGTATTGTCAATTGCAGAACAAAACTGACTGTCTTTGCTGTAATACTGCCTCCTCCTGGAAATATGGTGGCCTTACACATTCCCTGGCAAGAAAATACAAATAACTTGATAGCTAAATAATCCCTTTTATGCATTTTCCTCATATTTATTATAAAGTATACATAAAGTATCAGTAATCTAACCTTAAAGGGACACTACAGTCACCAGAACAACTACAGCTTATTGAATTTGTTCTGGTGAGTAGAATCATTAACTTCAGGCTTTTTGCTGTAAACACTGTCTTTTCAGTGAAAATGCAGTGTTTACATTACAGCCTAGTGATAACTTCACTGGTCACTCCTCAGATGGACCCTTCCTGGGTCATGGCTGCCTAAAATGCATCCAAACATTCAGTATCTCTTCCCTCTGCATGCAGGCACTGAACTTTCCTCATAGAGATTCATTGATTTAATTATTATTATTATTATTATTATTATTGCCATTTATATAATTCATCTATATGAGGAGATGCTGATTGGCCAGGGTTGTGTTTGAATCATGCTGCCCCTGCCCCTGTCATTCTCAGCCAATCCTTTGGGGAAGCATTGTGATTGGATCAGGCTACCTCTTCTGATGATGTCAGCAGACTGCTTGTTTTTCTGAGTCTAACAGCATGCAGCGTTACAGCTTCAGGGTTGAATATGGTAAGATTGTTATATGTATGAAGGCATGAGATACCCAGGGGGGCTAGATGGTGGTTTTAACACTAAAGGGTCAGGAATACATGTTTGTGTTCCTGACCCTATAGTGATCTTTTAATTGTAAACTTGTTCACATGTACTTCCCTTCCATTACCACCTAAACTATATGATGTATGCCAATATCAGCAACATATATCCACTACAATTTGTAACATGAAATGCCCTAAAACATTGACACTCGATTTTCTAAAATCTATGATTTTACTTAACAACGTTCATAAACTATTGGTAAAGACAGCTTCCAATGATTCTGATCCCAATCCTGAGATATGGCCCCTGACTATAACTCGATAGACCATACATATTGTCGGTTTCCTCTGATATCAGTGAGTGATTTATACTGTGTTACTAACTGCATCTCTACAAGGGTTCAGACAGGGGCTAACATAGAGGGTCAATTAAAGGATTTTCACTATTTCAGGCAAAAGTCCAGTTTGTGCCCTCTAGTGGATCCTACAACTTCCTTAGTTTTTTTTCCCATCCCTTTTGCCTCTCAGATTTCTCCCTCTGCCAGTCTTTCATAGTCTATTTTCTAGTGTCTTTCTGCCTCCCAGGCTGTATTTGTGTCTCTTCCCCAGTCTTCAATAGTTTTTTTAAAACTCTGTTAATCTCAGTCTTTCTTTTTCCTCTATTTTTCATCTTAGCCCATTTCCCCATCATCACCATCACCACCATCACCCCCACCATCAATTTCTTTATTCCCCACCATGAATTACCATTTCCTGATGTTTCTCCATCCTTTTTCTATACCTTTCTCCACTGTGGGTGATAAGGAGTTACACAGTTACATATTAATGTAATGTAAAATAAGACTCAAGTTCAACCTTTCACACTTTTTTATTCTGCTGTTGATCCAAAAGAAAAAAAAAAACTATTTGCAGGAATTGCTGCTGTGATACAAAGAAGGGAAAATATTTCTTGACTCATTAATAGCAATACAATTTCTCCTTGGATTAAATTTGTGTGTGGGGGTAGTTGTGTGTGGCTTGCTGAATGTGCTTGATGGAAGTTGTGTGACGGTTATGTGTTTGAGTGTGTGTGTGTCGTCTGTGAATCGAGTAGTGTGTGACTGGATGCATGTAACAGATGTTGTGTATGATGGAAGTTGTATGTCAGCACCATGGATGTTCAGGTTTGAGTGATAAAAGTTTTGGAGAGATTACCCATAACCCCCCACCCTAACAGGTAACCTTGCAGCAGCATTCTGTTTAACTGAGAAGCTCTGGATCATGAATTAGCACTGCCTGTGATCTACACATCGCAGAGGAGCAATCCACACACCACTTGCAAAAGCAAGGTGTGCTAGGCGAGTCAATTAAGTTATTTTGAGCTCCCGCGACTACATTCTATCTACAGGTGAATGTCTAATTTACAATATGGTCACACAAGCCCTACCAATAGACCACAGGTGCTGTTGTCAAGACTTGTGCCAGGGCTACTTAGTGCCAGGGTCGGTGCAAGGATTTTTGGGTACACAGGCGAAGATGATTTGACCCTCCCCCCCAAAAAAAGCATCTTTACCTCGGTGCCTCTGTCTTACCCCCTTCTTTTAAATGTCTTGCCCCCTTTAGTATATCTTATGCCTTATTTTTCACCATTGTTAGTCTTACACCTCCCTTGTGTATCTCTTACAACCTCCCTTTGTGTGTTTTACTCCCCCCCAGCCCCTTTGTGTGTCTCTTTCTCTCCCAGCCAATTTGTGTCTTTTACTCTTCCTAGCTCCTTCGTGTGTTTCTCTTTCACCCCAACCCACCTGTCTCCCCCCAGCCCCTCTGTGTCTATTTTTCCTCTTCTCTAGCCCCTCTGTGCCTCTTTCACCCACAGCCCCTTTAATTTTCCACCCCCCAGCCCCATCTGTGTGTCTTTCTACACTCTGATGTCCCTCTGTGTTTCTTTCTCCCCACTCAGGCCCCCCTGTGTGCCACTCTCTCCTCCATGTCCCTTAGTGTTCCTCTCCCCTCCATGTCCCTTAGTGGTCCTGTCCCCTTCCTCTCTTTTAGTTGTCCCCCCCTCCTCACCCTTAGTGTTCCTTTTCCCTTCCCTCCCCTATCTCTTTTCTACACCCCTCCCACACACCCCTAAGTGGTCTGCTCCCTACCCTACCTTCCTACCTTTCCAAGCAGAAGGGACTGCAGAACAGGAGCTTCAGTTTCCTGTACCCGGCCATACTGACAGGAAATGCTCTCTTAGTGAGTGACTGGCAGGAGTGCTCTCACTGAGTGACTGGCAGGAGGGAGCGCTGTGCGCTTCCCTCCTGATAGTCATTATAATATAGCGTCATAAGGCGGCTGCCTGTGCCACCTTATGGACGCGACGGCCCTGCTTACTGCCTAGGCATCACAGCAAACCAATGTTATTGGCAGCACTTTTACCTTGTTGATGTCAGCACAGACGTCCACTGTCCTTAGCCCTGAGGCACTGTTGAAGAGTAGATGTTTTGAGTCACTTAGGTTGCAGTGCCACTTAAGCCCATTAGAGAAAAGAGTAAATCAGAAATATGACCAGTTTTTCTGAGAGGGATGTGCAATATGTACACCCACTTAACACACCACTATCATTGGTGGGGCTTTGTAGACCAAAGCATGACAGCTGAAACTTTTAGTATGTAAACCTATTATATGAGTAATAGGAATGTGAAGCATGTGTAATCCTGACTGATAGTGTAACACTGGTATTACACAGTCAGATAGTTAGAGGTTTGATATAGCTTTCAATGTTTGTGCCCTTGGATATGGGAGCTCTGCCATTTATCATTACATATATATTTTATTTGCAACTGAGACAAAGCTTTGCAAAGCATTTTTTAGCACTGAAAATGTTAAATTATATAGTTTATGAACAATCTGTATAAAACCAATGAGTGTGGCATATGCTACATTCTGAGGGACACAAATAATTTGGTCTTGGGGAATAGTTGCTTGAATCTTTGTGATTGCGGAGGTTGGGCTGCATCATTCCCAGCTGGAGATCTGTCTGATAGATAATTAAACAAGTTATTCATAAAGAATACAAATTAAGAACTGTCAGCTGTGAGATGTAAACTGATTTAAAAGGGAAAAAAAACAGTTCAGTGATGTTATATATGTTTCCTTACTTGGCACTGGCTAAAAATTCACATGGTTTGCTCTACAGGCCGCAGGGTCTTACTATTTTGATGGAAGGATGGGTTCTTAGCACCATGCACTGCAATGCTCCATTGTCTGTGACACCCAACCCCTTCATAGCTAAACAGTGCCCACCTGCACTGTCCCACATGTCTGCCACATTTCTCAAAACAGTAGGCATCTATCTGAAGGTACATACCATATAGGGGAAGGGGGCAACTTGATGCTAATATGTGACTTTTTTTTTAGCCGTGTGCTGCCACTGTTGTCTGTAGCATATAAAAAAAGATCTGCAGGTTCAGAAAATGAGGGGGGAAGCTAGCTGTGACGAACTGGACCTCGTCACGGGTTCTTGGAGGGGCATACTTGTCAGCCTCTTACCCTGTGACTAGGGCCCCTGTAATAAAACTTGGTTTAAATCACTGTTTGTGTCTTTTTGGACTTGTGAAGCAGCACTTCGAATTCCTGAAGCAATTCAAAGCGGCACTTCGAATTACCAAACAACCGCATGAACCAAAGACCACCCTGGAGCTTGTTAACACCTATTAACAACTTGAAATGTTTCTCACCGCAGTGTTCTAATTGTTCATGTGGGTGGCCGCAATTCCTATGTTCGCATGAACGCAGGCAGTGGTGTTTGGGCATGAATCTCATGGAACTAAAGTCGGATACAGAAACTCCCGAACACTGCTAGACCTCCATCATCGCCTGCGTTCGTTTCTATTCAGCTTAGAAGGGCACTGTTCGGTGATATCATTCGTCTGGATGAAGGGAACAAGCTCCAGGGTAAGACTATTGACTCTGTTTGGTAGTTTGTTCGTTTTCAAACTACCTAACTAGATCGACCGCAAGCACTGATTCTCTGGAACTGTTTTGGGCATGGGACCATGCTTGTGGTCGGTCAAATACATGACTTCCATAACATTTCTGAATCCCTGAACTGATCTGGGTGATTTTTGGATATGTTGGTAACCCAGAACGGGGCTATCAGGATGTAACTTTTGTGGGGATATTATGTGTTTTGGGGTACTTTTGGGACTTTTCAGAACTGTGTTTTTTTTCTGGAGATAATTGGGCTAATGCAGTATCTGTCTCAATTATCTCCCAGGCAGAGAGGAGGGATTGTATGCGATGTGTGGGAGTGCCTTAGATTGTAACTTGGTTATCATTGGTGTATAAGTTTGTGTTCCTGTCCCCAACAAGGTTCATGTAGGTGTCACCCTTGCTTGAGGACTTGCATAAAAAGCCAGTGTGGCTACCATTAAACTAGTCCTGCTTTACCCTCAACATAGAGCCTTGCCTCATGTTTGTAGAGACCTGCTATACAAGCTATAACCACTAGCTCTTGTAAGAGCTTCACAGCTATACCTGCTATACTCTCTTGGAGAAGAGGCCTTCTCACTGGGAGCTGGATCCAGGAGTTTGGTCCAGGGTGGGAAGGGACGGCAAGACCCCTAGCCAAGTTACGGCAGGTAGGGGGCTACAGTGCTGATGGTGTCTGGTGGAGTGCTTGGAGTCCTCGGTGAGCACTAAGAGCATCGATTATGGAGGCACCCGGTCGGGGTGGAAGGCGGTCCGTCACACTAGCAATCCACTCCATGGCTTTCCATGAAGAACCATCAAACCTCATTATGACTAAGACTTTCAGTTTTGGCACTAAATGATTTGATTCTTCATGAGAAGCGCATCCAAGTGACTGAAAGCAGCAGTTGCTGTGCATGCCCAGTAGGTACCCAAGGCATCTCTATGAGAAGCATTGAATTGGACAGAGATTAATCCAGATGGACAAGAAGGACTTTAACAAGGGAGCCTAATAATCTAAACAAGCAGAGAAACACTCTAACTTTATAAATATATATATTTAATTCTAACATTAGAAAATTATTTTAATAGCTGTCTGCCCTGCAGTTGGTCATATTGATATGAAGTAACAATGGTTCTTTAATGGTGCAATTGGTGCCCATAGGTCTGCCAGGTATGGGTGTTTAAAGCCCAAATGTCACATATTTGTAAAGACACAAGATTTGCCAACTGGTAGGCTTGACCATAATGCAATGGCCCACAAAGTGTCAACCCAGCAGACATGTGTGTTAGGATAATAGGCTTTCTGGATGGGCTACCCGTAACCAAATACTGCTTTGTATTGATTTAAAATGCTGTGTTAACTCAAAGTGCACTCCGAGTGCTGTTAAACATATGTGACACGTGCACTTGCAGATCAACACTGGGTGACAGCTCTGGCCAGAGACACCACTGGTGGGGGTCAATGAAAAGAGACACAAATAGGGTGAGATGGAAGTCACAAGTTAAATTATAGCAAGACAAGTTAGGGGTTACTGAGACAAAAGAGAGAGATTATAGGCAGAGACATGTGGGGTACCAGGAAAGTACATAAATTGATGGGTGAGATGAGTGGTGGGAGATGGAGAGAGATGCATGCTGGGGAATATAGAGAAAGAGACACAGAAGGAAGTAGAGGAAGTCAAGTAACAAAATAGCTTTCAGAAACACACCCCTGCATTCATACATATTGACACTCTACATGGATACAGCCCTACAAACACACAAACACTAACATATTGTTGAATACATTCCAAAATTCAAACATCAACACTTCCCTACAGTGACACAAAGGTTTAACAAACAAATTCATACCACTGCTCTACACATAAATACCCCTGTATTAACACACACACATTCAAACTGTAAAAAGTAAATTCGTAGATATTCACCATAAGCATGCCTCTCTATACCTTAACCAACACTCCATACAACTACACCCATGCATTAACACATTTATGTACTGCTCACTAGTAGAAAAACTGTTTTACCACATATGTACTACATGCAAACAAACTTTAATTATATACTGAATGGCAATACACAAACATACTTTTGGGTTTATGCACATCGAAACTATACACATACAACCCTACCTCGACAAATACAATTCATGTACTTGCAGTAGACAAACATTTCATCACAATAAAATTCACAAATAGACATTACACACATGCATTCATACAAGTGCATTAACACTTCTTGCACACTCAAATATACATATTTTATGCACTGGCCTTCACGCTGTACACAATAAGATTTATTTAATGCATGTATATTGGTCTTCAAAGGGCCAAATAACTCATTTTGTCTGGGGGTATAGAAGGCTGTTAGTCTCTGATTGTGTATACACTTTGAGCTTGTTTCTATGCTTATCGCTATCAGTCACCAAAAGTGATGCTTAAAATGGTTGTCAGTTAATTCATGGCTGTTTCCATGCTACAATGCTTCATCGTTAGTGACTGGTAATGAGCACTTCAACCAGATTTCAGAGCTGGAATTATTCAAATATACCAATTATGAACAAGTGTCATTAAAAAGCGTTTTTAAAGGACAACTGTCACCAGAAAATGTTTTTTATTATTATAAGAATCCACGCAGCATATCATTTTTAAATAAAGTATATGTAAAAATACTTGAAAATCTATCCACTATTTTCACAGAACACTAGATCCCTCTGCCATATTCATACACCTTCGGTCGGACTGAGGTAGAATCCGACTGTTAGGCTCCTGCTCCAATCTCTGCAAAGGGTGGTGACGTCATCAGCCATCGCCCTGTGTGGTCTGGTTGGTCTGAATTCTGACAGCATTTGCAATTCTCATATTTGCTAAAGCCAAATGCAATTAGAATTCATTTTGTCCTGCCAATTCTGGTTTAGATTAAATTTTCCAAACTCATCCGAACCAATCTACTGCACCGGAAGCGCAAATTATCATTCACTTGCTAGTTGCACAATGGTTAATGATGTGGTGTTTGTCAGGGCTTGTTAGCCAGTCACCACATGGAAATAGATTTTTTTTAAATGAAAGAAAATTAGATCCCATATTGCTACAATGAAGGTATTTTACCTCCATGTGCCCCCCATCTGCCATCAGGCAGATGAGGGCATGTCTACTAAACATTAAAACTGGCTGCCCAGTCACTAGGAAAGGCAATCCCATAGGGATGGGGCCTGAGTAATAACTGGAGGGACATAGTCCCCCCGTAGCCCCACCTGTGTCCTCTACCCAAGTTTACTCTAACCATTTGTTTAAAATTGTTATATTTTGTTTACAATGCTCTACCAGGTTCCGTACGTTTTCCCACCCAATTCCACACCATAGTTCAACTCACCACTGCCTTTAATGGTCCAATCAAAGCTTCTCATAGAGCTGCCAAGTAGGAATGGGTGCCTATAGTGTCCCTTTAACCTCTGCCTATTGACATTTTCCAAAGATAACCAACAGCATGAAAAAAGTAGTCAGTAGATCTGCTTGTGTAGAACTAAGATTAATTTTACAAAACGATAAAAACAAAGGAATACAGGTACAAAAAAAAAGATTAACACAAAAGCAAAACCTGCAAAGTGATAAAGCTGTTTTAAGCTCTTAACTCTGTTATGGCATACTATGCTATCCTGCACAAAGTGGCCTTAAATGCTGTTATTGCAGCCGTAATGATTTGCAGCCCCCCCCGATCAAACCAGCCAATCCAGCCCTTCCGGGCCATGTGATCACGATGCCATCGCGATCACATGGCCAGATCGGAGTCTAAAGTACTGCCTGCATTGGGACTGCCTCCTATACAGATAGAATAAAATGATATATATATATATACATATATATATTACAAAATAAATGATTTCTGAGTATCAGAAATGTGAATGAGGCAAATAATGCTAGTTTGTTTTAGTGGTTCTGATGTAAGTAAAAATATACCTGATTCAGTTCAGAAATGACTGAACGAAAATGACATAAAACTAAACTTTTAATGAATACTATTATAAAAAGTGGGATATGAACAGTAAAGAAGTACCCACCAATAGGAGAAAACACACAAACAATAATAAATGATAAACCAAAAAAAAAAAAAAAAGAAGAAAAGGAGTATCTGCTTAATGTAGAAAAGGCCTACCTATGTACCTCTAAATGAAGGAAATATAGAGTTGGAAGGGTAAGTTCACTAAATAGGGTATCGTGGTTAAATGACCTACAGTAACAGCTACTAAATATCCTCTAATTAGCCTTCAAAGGCACCCCTTAAAAAAGGCTGTCCCTAAATCCGTGAATGGTAAATCATTCCACCCAGCCAACCAACCTCCTACAGAAAATTGCAATATCTAAATAGGAGTGTGTGGAACAAAACCACAAAGTAAGTAACTAAGTCGGCAAATGAGTGGTGTGTGGATAGCAGCGTCTATACCCCTGACGTTTCACCTTTCGGCTCATTAGAGGAGAACCTGCTTGAAGATTTAGCTGGTATTTACATAAGTGTCCCAGCTGGGATTGGCTGAAGAGAATTGGAATAGACCAATCAGGTGAGTAAGGAAGAATTTGAATGGACCAATCAAGAAGGTCAGTAAGAAATTATCGGGAAACATAAATAAAAAAAATAATAACATTGGGGGGAAAAAGTAATAATGATGCAAGAAAATAATTTTAGTGAATCACTATAGTAAATGATAATAGTAAGAGTAATCTACACAGTTAGTAAGGGGTTAGTAAGACTTTTAGTGCTAAATACTGATTAAGTAATTTAGTAGAGGTAGGTACTGTTTATAACTTACTTAGTTATTGGTAAAACATGGTAAACAAAAAGAAATAATAAATTTGGCATGACCATAATGCATTTTTAAAGTACTCGTAATGGTATAAGGTATATAGAGTCTAATTATGTCTAACTCCATGAAAGTAGGATGTTTATTGAAAAACAAGACCCCAAATGGGGATAATGGGTTCAAGAAACCAAATTATTAATGGATATTTGAATAGAGTGCATTCATACAAATTAGTTTGGATGTTCATTAAAAAGCAACAATAACGGGGGGCAGAGCCAGCACCTGAGCAAGCTAGGGGCATACCCCGATTTACACGACTTCCCGCAGCTATTAACCTACCTACTGTGTTCCAGATAGGCTGCCTTGACAGTTGATCGCATGGGGAAGAAAAATGTAAAAAAAGGGCTGATTCTGGCTCGGGCTCCAGAGAGTATGTGACCCTTACCGCAGACCGTGCTTCCCAAGACCGTGCTTCCCACTCCAACTTCGGATGATGACAGCCTCCAAGATCTCCCTACTGCTGCATCCCAGGAGGAAGGTGACTCAGCTCCCTTTAGCAAAGCCGACATACAGGCATTGAGGCAAGACATCAAAGCCATGTTTTAGGCAGATGTGGCACTGATTAGGGAGGAGGTTACCACACTAGCCAGTCGAGTAGAGGCAGTGGAGGGGAACATGGGTAGGGCTAAACTGGTGCAGTCTGCAACAGATGCTTCCCTAGGCTCATTGCAGAAGAAATGTGCCGATCTGACAGCACAACTAGCCAGCATGGTAGACAGGGCTAAAGCACGCAATGTACGAATACGTGGAGTACCAGAGTCGGTCTCTAATGCTGAACTGCCTCACTACTGCAGGAGGCTTATTGCCTTCCTTTTTTCCCCAAAACAGGCCAAGCAGCTAATGGTGGATAACTGCTTCCGCCTTCCAAAGGCTGTCAAGGCACCCCAAGAAGCAACTGTGGATATCCTGCTTAAATTTGTAAGGGACTCGGACCGAGGGGTTCTCATGGGCACCACAAGAGGTTCTCCAACAGTATTTTCTGAGGGAGTGCACCTACTCTTTTACAGAGACATTTCAAGGAATACCCTCATATGGAGAAGATATGGAGAAGATGTGGCAGAACCACTGCCTATTCGTAAAGACCCTTCCATATTGTGTGTGTTCCCCTGTAATTTTCATATACTGTGTCCTCTCCCCATTCGGAAGAGCACAAATGAACGGGGACCACCCTCATATCCCATTTAGAACGTGAGTTAGAATGTTCAAATAGAACATTCTCACCTTGCTCATCGGTGCGAAACTTCAAGGGAAACAATTAATGTGGGCTCCCCTGGGTGACTGCTACAGTACAGACGAACGCTAGCGTTTGTGGATTGTTTCCCGACTCGTTCATCTCCCGAACGAGGACCTCCCCGGTGCCCCATTAGAATGTTCCCCCCAATTAATCAAAATGTTCACATTTGCAACATAAATGTGAAACCGCAACTTTTGCACTGGCAAAATAGTGTGAAACCACAAGTGAAGTAATTAATGAATGCTCCCCTGGGTGGCCCCCCTGTAGTATAGACGAACACCAACTAGGGGGAGCAATCGTACCCCGAAAGGAGACAATTCCCTTGCAGGTTTCAACACCAGGTGCCCTGGTGGGGACGCCTCAGGTTGGTGGGGACACTTTTAGGCCACTGGCTACTTTGGATGGCTTTTCTGTGCCTGGGAGACAAAGGGACAGTTTCTTTGCCCGCGCTTTGGCTTCCAGACACAGATGATCATGGGATGAAGAACCCTGTCCGTTGGGTTGAGAGACCCCTTGCATGTGTGGTGAGCTTTTGGTACCTGAGAGTAAAAATGTGCAATTCGTTTCGTTCTGAATGTCAATTCGGACACATTTTGGGCAATTTGGACATCCGGATACATCTGAATGTCCGAATAGCTGAATTGACGAATTGACGAAATTCCGAAATTGCCGAATTTCCGAAGTGTCAAAGTTCCGAAGTGCCGAAGTTCTGAAGTGTTGAAGTGCATAGACCGCGAGTAGGAGCATGTCTAGCCTGTGGCTGCTCACTGTAAAAAAAACAAAACAAAACTAGGTGTCCCCCTCCCGAGCCCCAACCCGTGACATGCGAGTGGGGGCTTTTAACCCCTTAAGGACACATGACATGTGTGACATGTCATGATTCCCTTTTATTCCAGAAGTTTGGTCCTTTAGGGGTTAATCTAAATGACTATTGTCCTCCCCCCTAGCCCCCAGCCCTGAGTGGTGGGTGGGGGGCCTAAAATACTTCAAAGGGGGGGACCTATTGTCCTCCCCACTGGCCCCCACCCCTGAACAGTGGGTGGGGGCCCTAAAGTAAAATAAAAGGGGTGGGGACCTCAATGATGGTGGCCAGAGGGGAGGACAATATTTTATCTTACTTTAGGGCCCCCACCCGTCGCTCAGGGGTGGGAGCCAGGGGGGAGGACAATAGGTCCCCCCCTTTCAAGTAATTTAGGGCCCCCACCCACCTCTGAAGTGGGGGCCGGGTGGGAGGACACTAGGTCCCCCCTCTTTTAGTTTCTTTTAGGGCCCCCACCCGCCGCTCAGGGGTTGTGGCCAGGGGGGAGGACAATAGGTCCCGCCCTTAAAGTATTTTAGGGCCCCCACCCACCGCTCAGGGGTGGGGGCCGGGGGGAGGACAATAGGTCTTCCCCCCATCTTTTTTACTTTAGTTCCCCACCCGCCGCTCAGGGGTCGGGACAATAGGTCCCCCCCCTTTAAAGTATTTTAGG